AGACACATGGTGCCCAGGGATTCATGCAGGGTTGTCAGAATAAAAGGAGTTCATAACACGGACAAAGCGCTGGGCTGACAGAATCCTAGCCGGACCGTCCTCCTCGCATGGCACGCAGCGGAGGGAAAAGGGCTTGCTTGGTTTGCTTGAAAAGGTCCACATATCCGGCTGAAGAGTTCTTAAAGATACATAAGATACCCTCTGTTGCAGCATTTGACTTTTGGATGCTGGTTTTGCAGAAGCGTGGTGCACATGCCATGTAGGACATCTCTGGTGAAATCCAACCCGGCCGGACGTGGGCTGAGTTGGTAGAGGCCACCAGCGGTTGAGTCCTTCCGCCCCTGTCTCGTTTCATCCAGCACCATCTTGACTTGAGGCTGGCTACCTTGATGTTGACTGGCGGGATGTTGAGTTCCCGGCTATGCCAGCATGGCCTCTACACTGGAGGGCTTTGCCAATGCGTGCTGTGGCCAGGTCGGATCTCTGGAGCTACCAAGATCAGTTCGACGCGGAGAGGTCACAACATTCTAGAATTCGGGTGCCGTTTCATGTCCTTTAGCCAGGCCAAGACGTTTCTGGCTTGCAGACTTGCACTTGGAAGAACAAGTACGGTGAAGGACATCACATGGCATCACATGGGAGTGCTACGGCAACATACAGCCATGCTGCACTCCTTTGTCAGGATGGAAGCCCTCCGAAGTTCCCTGAATTCTTTGCGTCGTCTTGACGCGTTCTTTGGGAAATGCTCTGGGAACTCTGGTTTTGTGTTATTTGTGTTTTGTGACCGGTGAAGCTGCCGTGCTCAGACTTGACGTTATCCTTCGCCATGGCAGGTCATGCTTGGTGCGGAGCCAAGCGTCTCGTCTTGCAGCCAAAGGCCCCGTCTCTGCAAGTCTCCATGCTGTAGTCGTGGCGTAGACCGTGATTCGACAATTTCTGGCAGCTCGTGGGGCAGAACATGTGGACCCCGTTGCTGACTGGCAGCAGTCGCGCCGGCTTGTGTGTCAATCTGTAGGTTGTGATCTCGAGTTACGGCCATTAGTGGATTGGGCATTCGTAGTTCTTTCAAAAGAATGAACCCTAGGATCCAAACTAGGCCGAAGTAGCTGCTGTGGCAAATGCGAACACAGGGAGACCATGCCTCCAAAGTGGTTTGGGGTCGGCCCGCTTTGTTTGGCATTTTGGCACGAGCTCAAGCACCTCTCCATTCTTGTTCCTCATGAACTATACAGCAGCGCCTGAGGCAAGACTTCGGGGGCGGGTTGCAGGTTTTTCTATGTTGTGCCTTGTTCTTTTTGGGATGTTCTGTGGGCTGTCAAGGAGGGGGCTATGAGGGAAGAAACGAATTTCGAGTTTGTGAGGGTGCTCGTGTGTGGGGCACCATAGGGGGTGCCATGGTGGGGGGCCGGGGGGGAAGGGGACTAGTGAGGACGAAGGGACCGATTTCACCGGCGAAGAGCCCAAACAGGTCCCGCCTGACATTCGGAGCCAGAAAGCGAGCCATGAGATGTCTTCTTTCCGCCCGAAAATGTGTTTAGAATTTTTTTGTATCATGTTTTTTATAGAGGACCTCCCAACAGTGGGATCAACATTCAGATGCCCAGCAGAAATATCATGCGGAAGACATCAACATCTGCATTGAGAACACATGCACAGATTCAACAGTAGATGATGGACGAGAAGACATCAACACCAGCGCAGGTACTGGCCAAATCAGACTCGATATAATCGTATCATGCTCAATCGGGAACCAACATTTTGTGCCGCGTCCCTTGGTTTTCCCTTTCCCAGCAACGCACGTATTCCCTTGGCACTCGAGCAAATCCAGTGATAGCTTCGTCAACTTGAAAATCCGTGAAGGTGTCCCTTGTGGACCCTTGTGGACCCTTGTGGCTTTTGGCCTTTTCTTCGTGCCAGGGTCTATCGTGTCAGACATCGGGATCAAGTGCTACCCTTTGCGCTATGCGAGGCTGGGCGACGCGGCTTAGTCGTGTCCATGAGTGGGCCACAGCAACATGTCACGGCATGAATAAGGCCCAGAACCGTGAGCTTAGTTGTAGATTGCATGTGCAAAGAAGGTATGAGACACTCCAACTGTTGTAGGTTCAGTTATCCACTCCAACACGGCAGACTTCTGTTGCCGCACGTTTACATTGTCATTTCTGGTGATCTGTTGAAGTCCGGCAGGTTGTTTTCGAGGAGCGACGTGCAGTTGCAAAGCCATTAGCGGAAGCCTTGGTTGTGGCCTTGAAGTCAACAGTGAGCACGGGTACAGGACCCAAAATGACCATCGCAATGACCGGACTCGTGGGCTCCAAGTACTGCAAATTACAGCATTCCTACCCAGTCACAGACACCAAATACGGTAAATTCGCCTAGGTTGCAAACACGGTAAGTTACGCATTTCTGCCCAGTCACAGGCTCCACATACGCTAAATGGTCCATCGTTCGATCCATCTTGATGCCTGCCGTAGAGACAGCTGCATTCTTAACGGAGGGCCTACTTTTTTGGGTCGGTTTTTCTTAGGAAAACCTCCATTCTTCTATACTTTCATAGAATTTGGTCCATTTTTATTGGTTTTTCCTAGGAACCCTTCCGCAGGTTTTGACAGCAAGAGAGAGAAAGATAAAGACAGAAGAAAAAGAAAGAAGGAAAGAAATAAAGAAATAAAGAAAATGAAAAAGACAGAAACATGCGAGATGGGGGGGGGGGGCTGCGCCCCCCCACCCCCCGGCTTTTTTAAGCCGCGCAAGCTTTTGCAAAGCATATGAACGATTGACACCCATCATGCCACTTGTTTCAACCAATATGAAGGATTGAAACCTATGATGCGAGCATTGTGTTTGCAAATGGGGGGGGGGCGAGCTGCGTCCCCCCCAACCCCCCCTCCTTTTTTTGCCGTGCAAGCTCGTTTCAAAGCATATGAATGGTTGAAACCCATCATGGGAGCGTCGTGCTTGCAAATGGCGAGGGGCTGCGCCCCCCCCAACCCCCCCCCCCAACCCCCCCCCCCCCCCCCCCCCCCCCCAAACCCCCCCCCAAACCCCCCCCCAACCCCCCCCCAACCCCCCCCCCAACCCCCCCCCCACCCCCCCCCCCCGCCTATTTTTAGCAATGCAAGCTTGTTTCAAAGCATATGAACGATTGAAGCCCATGATGTGAGCATTGTTGTAGCAGTTGGGGGGGGGGGCTGCGCCCCCCCCAATACCCCACCTTTTTTAGTAATGCAAGAACCCATGATGCGAGCATTGTGTTTGCAAATGGGAACCCTCCCCCCCAACCCCCCCGCTTCTTTAAGCTGTGCAAGCTTTTGTCAAAGCACATGAACGATTGAAACCCATCATGAAACTTTTTTCAAAGCATATGAAATGAACGATTGAAACCCATGATGCGAGCCTTGCAAACATGCAAGCTTGATTCACAGCATATGAGTCTTTTCGAACCCCATCATGCAAGCACTGTGTTCGCAAAAGGAGGGGCTGCACCCCCCCCCAACCGCCCCCGCTGTTTGCAGCCGTGCAAGCTTGCGAGCAACATTTTTTCAGAATTCGTACGAAAGTAGTACGAATCCTATGAAGATATTGAGGGAATGGGCTGCTTCCCGAATGTGCAAACATCTGAGTTGGCAAGAAAAAAGAAGTAGCACGATTACAGTATGAGCCACTCCATGCCTTTCTTGCTACCGCTGCGCAAGCTAAGATCTGCGAGTTTTGCGAGCAACGCGCAGCAACCGTGTACTGCAAGTCGTGCCTGCGATGTTATTTGGCGTGTGAGAGAAGGGCGGCCAGTCGATCCAGTGCCGCGGCCAGGAATGACAATGCACACTTTTGCACCGCGTGGCTGGCTCATTTGCCTCTGCTGATGTGACTATTGGAATGTGAATGCAGCATGCGAGTTCACAAGGTGCGATGCCGCGCACCACTCGGAGAATGAGTTCTTTGCCCGACACCAAAGGCCCGACACAAGTTCCGACCAACTGTCCTTCCCAACGTGCAGGAGCTTACATGGTGGTGCCATGAAGTAGTTGCGTTTGCAGCTATGTGCTGCAGGTTCGCATTGGAGCATTCGCCCCTCCAGTTTGGCCTTTGTCGGCACCATCCTTCCGAGCGCTATGAAAGTGTGTGTTTGCAGTGCAAGGCGCATCGCATGCCGCAAGAGCAAGGGGTCAAGAGGGTTTGGCTGCTGCATGCCTTGGCCATGCCTTTGCCAGACGATGCTCTGCCGCATGTGCAACAAATTTGGAGACCATGCCCGAAAGGACAGGTGACAAGATTGTCGGCGACTGTCATTAACATGCCATTGACATGTTGCAAAGGAGCACGAAGGCCATACGCTAATGTCGACTGTGGAGGCCAAGCAGTAGCAGGCGACATGCTTGGACGAGCTGGGTGAAGCTTGATGTGAGGCCTTCCAGCAGGCCATGCAGGCAAGCTGCCGGTATCTGCCAGTATCTGCGCCAGCCGTTGCTCAGCCTCTGCAAGTTGATCCTGGCCAAGCCAGGCAAGCACGGAATCTGACGCTGACCAGAGCAAACACAACCTAATCTTGCAAGAGGAGCAGCCGTCCTGCCTCTTTCGTTGCTGCGAGCGTTTGATTCTGTCTTTCAGGCAATGCAAGAGAGACATTTCCAGCTTATGGAGGCCATTGCTGATAATGCCGGCTGGTAGATCTTCTGGCTGTCACCATTGGTTCTCTGCGCCGAGGTGCATGCGAACTTTGAGGATCTGTGGTGCATTGTCTAAGCTCGTTGCAGCGCAGTTGCTTAAGTCGCTTTCTTGTCCATCCGGGACAGGAGACACAAGGCCAAATGGACGTAGTGCTTAGAGGCGTCCGGGCCTTACAACTTTGCTGCCGACACATCTGTGAGTGCTCAGAAGAAACACGAAGGCGTTAGACCAACTCGAGAGAGCACAGTCTCGCAAGCTGGAGTTCCTGCAGTCAATGAAGCGACAGGCATCGGACTCAAACTCGCAAAAGTGATTTTGCACTGCAGGGCCGGAAGACTCTTCTGATGTCCTCTGCAGATGGCCATGCGTGCTAGGTCACCACCCAGCTGCTCTTTATCCAGTGGTTGGACAACTTCCAAGCCCACGCTCGAATGGCAGATGGCCAAGATGGTCAAGAAGGCAGTGGCCACTGGTCACCGCCACATTCAGTACTGGCACCGGGCAAGAGGTTGTGGAGTTTAGCTCTCAGGGATCGAAAGCCTGGTTCTTCAGTCCGAAGTCTGGTGTTGAAACAGGCGGATGATGTGTCGTTGCCGCCTTCGGGCTATACCCAGGCCTTGCCTCCTGCAGACTTTGTGGTGGCCACGAAGAGGCGCAGCACTGGCACGAGTACCTTGAGCTTAGCTGCTTAGCTTGTGCCTATGTGCATTACATGCCTAGGCACGAAGGTTTGCTGGCTGCTTTGTTTGGCTCTGAGGGCAGCCAGTTCAAGGCACGGTAGCGAACTGCACCTGCGAAGTTACAGAAGAATCTGTTTGAAAGCAGCGTTTTGAGAAGAGCAGCGCTGAGGGCACGGATCTGGGGATTGGCCCGGTCCCGCGCCGCACTTGGGCCACGCTGAGATCCGGACTCGCCTTTCTGACCCTTTCTGACCCTTTCTGACCCTTTCTGACCCTTTCTGACCCTTTCTGACCCTTTCTGACCCTTTCTGACCCTTTCTGACCCTTTCTGACCCTTTCTGACCCTTTCTGACCCTTTCTGACCCTTTCTGACCCTTTCTGACCCTTTCTGATTTCTGCTCTGGTTTTATACTGTTGGTCTTGGCAGATCAGGCTGTGCTCGGGAGTGAATGGGAGCCCTAAGTCTGCGAAATGAGGGGGATCCTTTCTGCCATTAAACATCTGTGCATAGGCTGTAGTGGAATCGGCAACGTTTTTCCGGCTTATACGGCTTATACGGCTTATACAGTGGTTTCAATGGTTGCACAGCTACATGTGGCCCGCCTGCAAGCTGAGGGGCACCTTCATACCAAGCTCTTTGTGCTTGTGTTGCCCTATCGGGTTCATTTCTTTCCAGAGGCTGTGGGTGGATGAGGAGCTTCTGCTTGAAGGAGCTGCGTGGAGCTCAGGCATCTTGATCCCTGTTGAAGTACTCGTATACATTATCATTTTGTATGACCGTTGCTTGTAGTCTTCACCTTCTTAATTTGCTCACTGCTTTGATTATTTTGATGTGCTACTTGGTGTGTATCTGTGCCATGCGGCTTGCTCGACTTGGCCGTGCTTGAGCTGGGTGAGCTGGACTTTCGCTCGGCTTTGGCATTTCCTCACCACAGGCATTGTGCGCCACAAGATCTTAGACTGAATCGACGGCGGCTTGATGTGAATCGTGTGCGCGACTTGCGGCGTGATGCCAGCTGTGCCCCGACAGCTGTTGGTAGTTCATGACTCGCGGCCAACTCACTAGGGGCTTAAACAGGCAACTGGTAGCCAGAAGGGGTTCCTTGTTGGGCTCTTTGGCAGGGCTCTACCTGTTGCCGAGACCTCTTTCCATGCCACTGAGACTGTAGCCGCTTGGAAGTTTTCGAGTTGTTCAATGAATCTGAGAGTTTCTGAGCTGATTGGCTTGGCATTCTACTGACTTCTCCCTGCTGTCCCCGGTCGCCTTGTCGTAGGGGTCTTGAGTGTCTTGAGCCTTTGCCTTTCCCGCTTCCTTCTTTTCCTGGCCGTCATCCTCATCGTTACCATGTGAACCAGCCGCTCTGACACTTCCCTGCGCACTCAGTCTCCACAGCAACATGGCGCATTTCGAGCGACTGGAGCTGGCCTGCGTCGGACTGCCCTATTGAACCCCGTGCAGGTTCTGTACAGAGAAGAGCTTCAACCCTTGGTTAGGATGGCGTTTTGCAAAGTGGCAGAATGTTGGATACGGCTCTTTGGCGTCCTGTGCCCGTGTGTTTTTGTAGTATGCACCGCCTGCGAGGCCTGCCCGTCCGGAAGCCGCTGGCTCGCAGGTCTTTGGGCCCCGAAGGCCTTGCCCATTGAGGACGGCGCCGGTTCCGGCAGCTCTGCTTGCCACGTCACACCTCAGCTTGATGTGTTCAAACCGTTGAGGCACGATTGGTCTCAGCATCTGTTGCAGTCTGGCCTTGTTCCCAAAATCCTAAGGGCTCTGTCCGCTGGCAACAAAACTTGCTCTGCTATCCGATGCAGAAGTCGCGCCGTTCCTCGATGACGTCCGCGAGTGCCTGCGCATAACCGGCGATGCAACTTGGTCGGACCTGATGCACGTCGACCAGGGCCAACCACTTTCCTTGGTCAACCGCAAGACACCTGCACAAGGGTGTCCCGCAGGGTTTTGCGCAGCCGATCCCGCTTTGCCGCTTGGCCGCCCTCGACCACGAGGGTGCGTGCCACATGCTACGGTCAAGTCTCAGGAGTGCGGAGTTTCACAACAGCTTTCCCTGCGGAGCACTACGTCGAAACCGCCAGCAGCACATCCACACCCCCCACCCTCCGCCAACAACTTTGTGGCCATCCCCAGCGAATCCACAAGCAGATGGGTAACCCCCACGGCCAGCAACCATTTAGGCCCTGAAGCTTTCCTGCCTGGTTAACCCCACGGCCGTCAAGGCCAGAAGCCTTTAGTCCGGAGGCTTTCCTGGATTAGGAGCCTTCTATTGCAGGTGACCTCAACAAACAGCCAGCCTGAAAAAACAACAGAGTGCTTTACCTTGTGTGGGGTAGCTCTATATACTACAGGCGCAGAGTGCAGTTTGAGATGCTTGTCATGCTTTATCCGGCTCATGTTATCAGAGTTGTGCCATTGTGTGTGGCCCGGGTTTTCAGGTATCAGTTCAACTGACGTCGCTTCCGCCTCCGATAGCTGAGCCTGTGTGCCTCTTACAGAATCAACAGCGCGTTGTAGAAGCATTGCCCGTTCTAGTTAGTCTGCTGTGTATTCTTCATCTGTACTTGCACGGCAAGGGTGCAGACTCAGGGGCCAATGCCTCCCAGCACAGCAGTTCCTGCGCTTGAAGAGGCAATGTACGTTGAGCAACGGCTTTTGAGATCATGTGCTTTCGCTACCGTCAGTGTGGACAAGTTGCACTGCACTTGCCAGGATAGTCGATGACCAAGAGTCGCTCACAGAGAGTCCATCTCAAATCCGAAGAGAGTCTGTCTCAAATCCGAAACAATCAATGCACAAAGCAAGACAAAAGCACATCTCCAGAGCCTCCAGCCAAGCTAGCATCGAGATTGCATATGTTGATGATGCCCCCCCCCCCCCCCCCCTCCCCCCCTCCCCCCCCCCCCCGCCCCCTCCCCCCCTCCCCCCCTCCCCCCCTCCCCCCCCCCACCCCCCCCCCTCCCCCCCCCCCCACCCCCCCCCTCCCTCCCCCCCTCCCCCCCTTCCCTCCCCCGTAAGATGGACACTTAAAGGCTATGCTGCACGTGCGTGCCTTGTAAACAAATACTTTACAAAGGAAACACCCGCAGAATAGACGCAACGCACCCGCAGAATAGGCGTGGAGGAGGGCGCGGAGGAGGGCGCGGAGGAGGGCGTGGAGGAGGGCGCGGAGGAGGGCGCGGAGGAGGGCGCGGAGGAGGGCGCGGAGGAGGGCGCGGAGGAGGGCGCGGAGGAGGGCGCGGAGGAGGGCGCGGAGGAGGGCGCGGAGGAGGGCGCGGAGGAAGGCGCGGAGGAGGGTGCGGATGAGGGTGCGGAGGAGGGCGCGGAGGGTGCGTAGGGCGCGGAGGAGGGCGCAGAGGGTGTGGAGGGTGCGTAGGGTGCGTGGAGGGCGTTCGCGGAAGGTGCCCCAACGGTTGAACCCCTTTTCTAGTGCGCGTGTCCCCCACTCCCCTTCCCATCAACCGAATGTCACGCTCACCCCATCCTCCGAACTCGTCCGTCAGACATCCATTCATGGCCCAGAGAGGTTTGCGGGAAGAACGCAGAATAGACGTTAAGTGTCAAAGGCACCTCCCTCCCCCTCCCCCCCTCCTCCCCCCTCCCCCCCCCTCCCCTCCCCCCCCCCTCCCCCCTCCCCCCCTCCCCCCTCCCCCCCCCTCCCCGTTTTGCCTTGTCTCGAGTAAGAACTTGCAGATCCGATGGGTAAGCAGAGCTCGGAAGTGGGAGGTGCCGCCACTACACCTTGCAATGGGTCAAGCCGGCAGGCACAGATACGCTCGTTGTGCTGGTTCCTTGCACTGCCAAATAATGCATCTAAATGCGTCGTGTCTTCACACGATGCCCAGCTAAGCAGGTGCAAGGCAAGTGCAGGCAAGTGCAAACAAAGCATCTGCTCAAACAAGCGCAGCATGAAACCTAGCTTTCTTTGTCTCCCCGCTGGAGCAACCTGAGCCGGGATGCTTTTGTGTCATAGCGCTTAGCATCTTCATGAACAAATGTTTGTGTTACACGGAGTCGCAAGTTGGATGATGGAAGGTGAGCCACTGGGAGTGTAGCCGTTATCAAGTGTATCTTAAGAGATGGCTCCCAAGTTTTCCCAATGTTCTCCCCAAAGCCACCGTTTAGGGTCAGGGTCTTTGTACATGTTTTGTACTTTTCTGTTGGTATCTGCGTGTTTCCTTCTGGTGAAGCCGCTTGGGACGCGTCTGCTACATACTTTCTCTGTGGTTCCTTTTGGCCCACGCTTGCATGGAAAGGTCTCTTAGGCTAGAAATCCTGCAAGGAATGAGCTTGAATGATTTGCTGGAATACCGAAATGGTGGCAGCGGTGGTGGTGATGCAAGTACTAAGTACATGTGATTCACATTTGGCTACTTCATTTGCTCCCCTTGCGGGCAGCATGTTCCATTCCGCGAACATTAGTGTTCCAGGAGTATAGATGGTGCGTCTGCCCTGGAGGAGAGTGCATCATGTAGTGTTGTGTACTCTTCAAGTCCTAAAATTGTGTCACAGGAGCTTGGCACCTCGTACCTGGAGGCAACTCCTAGGCAGGATCTGCATCCGACGTCCAGATGACTGATATCTTGCAGGTATGAGTGAACAGAGTCTCATGTTCATGGAAAGGAGTGGGGAATTCTCAACAATGAGGGAGGGGAAGCTTCAACAGGAGTTGTGGAGTGGGAGACCCGCAGCCAGGATCGACATGCCAGCCCCCCTCCCCCTAGGTGGAAAAGGAGACGTCATAGACCCTCAACAACTGTAATCGCTTGAACTTGAAAAACAGCGATGCATGTCGAACACTTAGCCCTGAACCCTAAAGGAAGAACAACAACCCGAACTGAAGGACAACACGAAACTCCAAAAAGATGTGGTATAGCAACGAAAGTGACTGGTGCTCCATGGCCTACTGGCAAAGAATGGTAAGAATGGCAAAGAAATGCTCGCAAATGCACACAACATCGGCCAACCGGCACGACAAACCTCAGGCGTCGCTCCTTGGGGCAACCGCCCGCAGGCATTGGAGGCAGTCTTTGAATGTCTTTGTGGTGCAACGAGGTCTCATGGCAGTTCATGTGAGTTCATGGAGTCCACAGGACTTGGGTTGAGCAATGTTGAGCATGTTGAGCATCTCGTATGCCAGGAATAAGCGACACTCTTTACGTCAAAGCATCTGATTCAGGCAGGTCTAGAGAGCCTCGGAGAGCCCAGCCTTACTCTGCCTTACTTGGCCTGTGATCTTTGCACTCCCCGCCTGCCGACTAACTGCAGGTCTTGCCATCAGCGATGTCGACAAGGCAACCGAACAGCAGAGACAACTTGAAGGAGGAGTTGGAGGAGTTGGAGGAGTTCTTGATGCATCGGCGGTGACTGCTGTCGATCAAGTCCCAGGCACGGCCTCGGCAAAGCTAGGTATGTCTAACCTGTCCTGACCCGAGTCACCAGTGATGCGCAGTGACACTGACTTGGAGGTGGCCAGAGCCGTGTAGAATTCGACGGTTACATCTCGCAGGCACATGGTTCGAGCCTTGCTATCTGGCGCTTTCGTCATTCTTGAAGTGTTCCTGGGTGAATGGCAGGCTTTTGCGTACCTGGAGGAAGCACAGAAAAACTCAAGAGCAGGGCTGCCAGCTGTTGTCGAGCCCTAAGCCAGACGCAACAGCCATGCGGAGCCACGTGGGGCCACGTGGGCCATAAGCAGGAGCGTTGACGAGATCCGAGACACGCTTCGCCTCTTCAGGCAGTGGCTGTACCGCCGCGTGTTCCAAGCTTGCAGCTTGCGACTGAGGCCCGGATAGTTCAACACACATCAAGAGCGAGAGAGAGGGACAGAGAGAGTGTGCCTGTGACATGCAATAGGTTCTTGTACAACTGCGCCAAAGCCTGCTGCTCAGCTGCTGAGGGTGCTTTGGGTTCGAATCGTCGAATCTCATCGAAGCTAGGTGCCGAAGCATGTGGGGGCCCTGCCAAGCCATGGGGAGTCCTACTTGCACTCCTGAGTTCATGCCCAGGCGCAGTGCACTTCAGCTGTTTGCTTGTGGCCAACAAGTCAAGAACCTGAGAGGAATCACTCACTTTGTGAGTGTCACTAAGTGAATTTGTCTCTTCGTGGCACTCGCATTCAGCACGTCTCCGACCTCCACAGGTTCTCAGTGAACCTGCTTGATAATAGACAAGCGCTTGAACATCATGTCTGTTTTGTTTCGCTGACAGGCTGACAGGCCCATCCAACAGAAATGACACAATGACAATTAAGCCCCTTCTCGAATTGCACAGAGGCTCAGATGACTACTGTAGTGAATGCTGCGTTCATCTGGATCGTCGGACTTCGTGCATGGGATGCCAATGGAAGCCGTCGACAGAGAGAAAGATGTCACTTTGACATCGCCTTGGTCTGCTTTTAGCATTTCTGCCCAACTGATTCTTCTTCTTCGGAGTGCTGTGGGGCATTGCCAAAAGCGGCGAACTAACTCCCCGGCGCAGGCGGTGAGCGGCAAGAGCTGCTGCTGCGTGCACTCCGAGTGGTGGGCAGATTGTGTTTCTTTGGACTCATTTGAAATTAGATTCCCTGAAGTCGGAGAGCCAATGCAGGCAGCACCGATTGGTGACACCGCTGGGCAGCTGGCCAGGCAAAGCTGGACCTCACAATGGCATCTGTGTCCCATTGCATTCCTTTGCATCATGCTACCATCCCCCCCTCGAAGGGTTGATCATGTTCTTCCAGCTTGGGGTGTGTTTTTGGGCGAGTGGTCTGGCGGGGGGGGGGGGGATGGCGGGCGGCAAGAAATTAGAAGATCTTGAGTTCCAAACCATATGCCCCAAAATCATAGCCCCTAAAACTAAAAGCAACTAAACCTTAAACGGTCGACGACCGAAGAGTTGGTTCTGCGTAAAGGGTTTAGGTGTAGTTATCCAACATGTGGTTTGGAATGTCCCTTTTGTACTTTTTGTTTGCCGTTTTTTTATCTTTGTTTTTTTGGTCTGGTTTCCTCTCAAAAAACAGTTAAAATACAGAGGAAATAGAGGTTTTCACAGTCAACTACAGAGGACAGAGACGTCTTCAGTAGAGCTTCCCTATGAAAATATAGAGCAATTAGAGAAATGGGGTTTGCCTAATACGAAATAGCTTCTTATAGAGGTTTAGAAAGACAGAAAGAAAGACAGAAAGAATGTAAGAAAGACAGACAGCAAATAAAACAGAGAAAACAGCAAAATGAAAGCACACAGGAAGAACGAAAGAAGGACTTCTGAAAGACAAAAACAAGCAACTATGCAAAGAAGCACACATTTTCAAGCCATGCAAGCATGCTTGATACGGTGGATGGACAAAATCGTGCATGACCCGGTACAGACGAGCATGGCAAGTTAACTGGCACCATCCCAATATTGCTGCCACGCATGGCTGTGAGGCGATCATGCCATAGAGAGGACTTGCATTACAAAAACCATGTGAATCCTTTCCAAACCCGACATGCGAGTATTGTGTTCGCAGATGGTGCGGGCCGTGGCCCCCCACCCCCCCACAGCCCCTACTCCCCGGCTGTTTTAACTTGCGCGCGCCGCCTCGGCAGCCGGGCCGGCCCACAGGAAAGGATGAAAGAGGACCGAAAAAAAGGGGCGGGGGGGGGGGGTCCCAAGAAAGGGTCCCAGGCGTCCCAGGCGGGGTCCCAGGAAAGGTCCGGGGGGTGGGTCAGGGGGGTCCCAAGGGGTGCCAGCGCGGGTCCCGTGGCGGGTAGGGGAGCCGCCGCTCCTCCAAGCGATGGGGGGGTCCCACAAAGTGGGGGGTGCATCACAAAATTTGGCATGGGGCTTGGGTTAGGGGGAAGGAGACGATCCGTGTCCGCTTGTTCCAAACGCTTCTCGGCAGGAAGCCGAGGCGAATTCTTTTGAAGCCTTGCAAGATTGCTTCATAACGAAGACCATGCTTTATTTCCCTGGACCTTTTCCTAACCTGTCATGTGAGGCTTGCATTTTCAAGCGGGGGCGGGGGGGCTGCCAGCCCTCCGGTGTGTCATTTCTTTTGAAGCCTTTTAAGCTTTCTTATCAACAATGTCATGCCACAAAGAGGACTTGCGTTCAGAAACCATGCGAATCCTTTTTCAAACCCATCATGCGAGCATTGTGTTTGTAAATGGGGCGTCTGCCCCCCCACCCCCGCAGCAGTATTATTTCTTTTCAAACCTTGCAAGATTGCTTCAGGAAAACCATGCCTTACCAGGACCTTTTCCAAACCTGTCATGCGAGGGATTGCGTTTTCAAACAGGCGGGCGGGGCTGCGCCCGCCCCAGCCCTCCCGCATTTTTCCTCTTTTGAAGCCTCGCAAGCTATATATCATGCCACAAAAGACTGGACTTGCTTAACAAAGCATGCGCATCCTGTCCAAACCTGTCATGCGAGGATCGTGTTTTTAAATGGAGCCGTGCCCACGCCCCCCGGCCCCCCCCCCCTCTCCCGCCCCAACCCGCGCTTTGTTATGTCTTTTGAAGCCGTTTAAGCTTGCTGTGTAGGAAAATCATGCCACGTAGAGGAGCTGCGCTAAGAAACCATGCGAATCCTTATAATCCTTTTTCAAACCCGGAATGCGAGTATTGTCTGTGTGTGTGTGTGTGTGTGTGTGTGTGTGGTGTGTGTGTGTGTGAGAGGGGGGTACTGCGCCAGCCCCCCACCCCCCTATTCCACCCCTACCGTTTTATTTGTGGGGGCTGCGCCGCCCTACGCCCCTCCCCCCCCCCACCCCCCCCACCCCAACCTCCAGCTTGTGCTGTATTAGGAAAGCCCTTGTTACCTCGATATTTAAGTAAGAAGACTATTTTCATAGGTGAAAAAATCTATTTCCCTTTTTTTTTATTTCGAGTTGGGATGGGGGACCGAGGCAGGGGGTAAGGGGGGTTGGGCAGGGTAGGATGTGGGATGGTAAGACCTCTTCCAGGGGCTCGCCGCGTTACAGGCTGCTGTCCCTTCAAGTCTACTACTAAGGCCTCTTCCAAATTTGGACCACTGGACCGTTTTTCGGTTTTGTTGGGTTGGACCGACAAGGTCCATCCTTCGGTGCTGGAATCATAGTTTGCGTGTTGGGTTTAACAAGCCCCTATCCTAACTTATGTGGATCGCTTGGCCCAGGCAGGGTCATGTCTTCTCGAAATTTTGGCTTTGGGCCCAGTCATAGGAAACCTCCATTTCCTTTGCAGTGTAGTTTGAATAGGAAACCTTCATGCCCACTGTGAACAGGAGGCCCCAGAACAAAAAAGGCGAAAACGCGAAGAACCAAGTCCAAAATGATTCCTCGCCCTTTGGGAATGGTTTGGACTTCTTTGGCAATACCGCCGTCTACCGGTCACAACACCAGCAGCAGCACCGCCAGCAGCACAACAGGAAGAAGTGAAGAACAAGAGCAAAAACAGTGATGCTTGCCGATCTCATGCCAATTTCTGCACCTGCCATGTGAGATGAATGAGACGTCTCTAGAGTCCTGCGAGTCAGACGCGTCTGAGAGTCGAAGCTCCAAAACACCCTAGACCTCAGGCCCTGAACCCTTGTTTCCTTACAACCTCAGCCCTAAACCCATACCACTGACCCCTAAGTCGTACTCCGCAAAGCGCTAAACCGGGCCATGACATGCCATTCCATGCCTCCTACCCATTTCCAGTATGGAATTTTGTGGACAGGGCCGTTGTGGAAGATGATGCGCGTGGCTCAAGCCGTGGGAGATCTTCTTCTTACATGCTTGTTTGGAAGATTGCAAATCTTGGGGAATCATTTCTGCCTGAGGTACAGCGAACTCAAGTTCCGTCCCTCCTAGTGTCTGCAAACGGCCTCCATACTGCTTTGGTGAGCCCGGTCTTTTGACTGATGCAAGAACAAAAACAGAAGCCGATGCCAGACTTGAGTGCCAGGTGCAGGCGCTCATGCGGCTGAGCGGGAGGCGCGAGCCCTCTTGAGACCTCCGCAAGTTTGGGGCGATATGAAGGGATCTCTACTCGCTTGTGACTTGTTTCTCTCTCGCTTGTGTTTTTTTTTTTTTTTTTTCTCTCTTTTCTCGCTTGTGACTCTCCATTTCGCTTGTGATTTTCTTTCTCGTTCAGAGCCAAAACCCTGTGTGAGAGCAGCAGGTGAATGCCTACATGTTGCAGAATGCTGCTATTTTGGCTCGAGCCGATCACACAACTGCATCGGAGTCATCTTGAAAGGTGGAAATACGCTTTTTCTCCGTGCGCTGAACCTAGACCTAGGGACCTAGACATACGGCAGATTACGTTGCAACGTGACTGACTCTTTAGTGAACGATCCATCACTTTGTCCCAGTGGCCTCAGTGCAGCGCAGAGCTTTTGGAGCAACAGCCAGAAGGAACGTCTCAGATCGTCTCAGAGGTCTCAGGACGCCGAATACGCCGAAGTAGCACATCAGAACTGAGCCATGGCAGAGCTCGACGTGCATGAAGAGGTCGGGTCACTCAGAAGCTCCGTACTGCGACGCTGTATCAAGCCGGGAAGTACTTACATGAGCCAAGCAGCAGCAGGACCAAGCCAAAGGCAGCAAGCAGGAAGGAGAGTGCAAGCGCAGCCCTCGCAAGCCCTCAAGAACTCAAGCCGTCCCCTCAAGAAGAGATCCCTCCTCAAAGCAGGCCATGGCCGAATCGAACATCCCTACCCCCCACATTTTGCACAGTCGTGGTGGGCGGGAAAAGCAAAATGCTCACACAGGGCAGCTGTCAAAAGGCAAACACCTTGCTGTATCAGCAAGCCCTGCAGGAAGAGTCATATGCTTGCAGTAGTTCACAACAAGCGTGACCACCCAACCTTGCACAAGATGCATCTTGAGAGAGCGAGAGCACGAACTGTCAACCCTCATGACCCTCTTGGTCTCCTCGCATGGGCTCCGCAAGACGAGGGGTGCGGAGACTGCGAAGGGGCTTCGCACCCTCCTGCCCCAAGAAAGAAAGACAGAGACAGACAGAGAGAGAGAGTGAGTGAGTGAGTGAGTGAGTGAGTGGGTGAGTGAGTGGGTGAGTGAGCGCGGGTCGCAGCACGGAGATATAAGACGTACACTCCAACGGAGCTCCGCGAAGCGGGGAAATTGAAAGAATGTGAAGGGAGGGACGATCGAATTCGTTGGTTGGGCTCATACAATCCGAGCCAATCAGACAGCGTTGCGTGTTTTTGCCATCCGACTCCAACTTTTCCTCCAGTGAGCGTGAAGTTAATGGGGGGGCTCAACGAAAGGGATATCACATTCCCCCGACAGCTCATCCGAGGCGCGCAGGCTGCCCAGGGGGTTCGCCCCTCAAGCCCCAAAGAGAGAAAGAAAAGAAAGAAAGAGTGAGTGATGTGAGTGTGCGTGTGCCTGTCGTGTCTACGATGTACAAGGCCAGAGCTCTGGAGCTCTCCGCTGCTTTTCTCCAGTACGTGCAGAAGTGTCCGCACGTCATGGATTCAGTGCAGGCAAGAGATGGCAAGAGTCGCATCATGATCAAACGTCCGTGTGGTCCGAGTGCTGGAGGTTTCATGGCCTGTCCCCAGTGTAGGAGCGGTGACGTTCCGCTCCATTTTCCGTTTATGATGTGCTACATGTGCTACGGTGGGCCCTCTGTTTTTGCTGACATTTTGCGTCTGGGTGAGGGCTTCGGTTTTGAGCGCAGCGAGTCTCTTAAGTAGTGTGCCATGCAATGTAGCCAATGCCAAGGGGACGGAAGCTGCATTGCAGAAACCAAATGACCTAGATACCTTGACATGTGCAAGTCAGTCAGATGCCGAACCAACACGGGTCCGTCGAAACTAATCATGTCTGGACCTAAGCCGTAAAGCTCTACAGATCGTTGGAGTAAAATTTGTTCGCGCAATGAAATCGTTGATAAACTTCTTCCTTACGCCTTCAGACTACAAAATCGTTACACGCAATCCAAACAGTCACTGCAGCTTTGGTGATGTGGTACGGTCGGTTCAGGATTTGGGGCAGGGACCCGGTAGGGTTTGGATAAGTATAAACTTTTGGGCCCCTCTCCTCCAAATTTAGGTCTGGATTTTCGAGGAGCCTTTAAAGACTCGTTCAAGGGCAGAAAGAACGGGCAGAACGGGCAGAAAGGGCAGGAAGGGCAGGAAGGGCAGGCAGGAAGCTTCTCCAGCGCTCTCTGCTCGCTTGATCGGGCACTCATGCGCGCTCCATCTCGTGGGAAGGTGGACGGCAAATCAGAATGTCGGCCAAAATATGAGGCCTAACGTAAGGGGCCTCCCAACAGGTAAGTGGCCTCCCAAGGCTTCAGAAGACAAACATGCACTCTTCCAGTTTGTTGCGTGCGGGTGCGGGTGATGCACGTTCGGTCATTGGTGCGCATGCGCATCTAAACATTGTCAATATGAATATCCAGAGTTCGGAAGGTATAAGTATATAACGTGATGCAAGATTTCGCACATCAATCAGGCCTCCCGCCAGGCTTTGTCGTGTAAGGGGCCCGTAAGAAGCCTGACCCTCGATGCCCTTTCCCTTGTGGCGAGAGGCCCCAGATGCGAAATTGCATCATTGACCTCCGATTGTGTTGGAGCCAAGCTGGATTTCATTGTTTCCAAGAGAGAAAGATGTAAAACTAGGGAATCGCCCTAAACCGATATTTGGACTTTGGGTTGAGGGCTTTTCTTGGATTAAGAGTGCTGCTTATATGCGATTCCTTCGAATAGTGCAGGCTTTCATCGCCGAGCACTGCATGCAATTCGCGGAGCTTGCAGATTGTGCCGCACCTGAATAAGCAGTGAAGTGCCATGTGGCGAAGATCGTGTTCGTAGCTGAAGTGTTCAACGGCACCTAAGGTGAGGAGCACAAGCTTGAGCCAGCTGCCGAGCGAGTGTGTTTGCAAAGCCGCTGGGGCAGAAAGAGAACCAGAAGAGCAGGTACACGACTGTTCACCAAGAATTCCTTTCCCTTCTGGACCGTCATGTGGAGGTGCATTGTTACATCCTCTTGCATGTCTCTACAACACCAAGAAATTGGGCCGCTCAGTGCCAGGCTTTCCTGCAGTTTCAGGGTGCCACGGAGGCAGACTTCCTGGTTGCGCTGGCCTCCGTTCAGGCCCAGTTGGAGCATGCGCACCATGAGATGCCATGAGGGTGCCCTTTCAATTGAAACAGATTCTTATGAAGGAAGAAGGGTACTCTGAGTGGAAGCCATTCAAATCCCTTCTTGACAAGACTGCCAGGATCTCAGTTGAGATTGCAGGTGGCCTTCCAGTAGGGGTTGGTTCATGGGCATTCCGACATTGAGGACTACTACGCGTTTGCCAAAATGATGCAAATTCAGGCCCTTCTCTGGACTTGTTGCATGAATCTGCACCATCCTTCTTAGAGCCTTCAGCATCTCTGGGCTCGACGCTCACGTCGGGAAGGCAGGAAGGCAGGAGTATGCTGCAAAATTGTTCCAATCGGAAGCTTTTTGTAGCAACCTGGGCTCAATTTTCGTGGGGGTCATGCGCATTGGGGGCATGTATCCTACACCTCGCTGTTCAACAGAGTTGTTCTACAGCCTAAACTTGCCTGAAGTATTTGTCCGTAAAGTACAGGATGTGGGCACTCATTGGACCTGTGGGCACTGAAGTGACCCAAGGCGCATGTGTGTTTGTGTGTCTAATGCCTTGTGCAGGCGAATGGAGTGGGTCCGAGAGGCCCTCCGCCCAATTAGAAGCAGTTGGAAAAAGGATCAATTCGTTTGCTGTGGCTCGGCATAGTGGAAGGCATTGCGCAGATAGCCTGACTCCGTCAGTGCATACAAGTACCCCCGCGCAGTTCTTTCATGGAGAAGGAGACGTCCATGCTGGTCAAGGCTTTCGCCCTGCACTGGAGACGCAAGTGCGGACCGGTTAAGCTTGCGTGGAGCCAGAAAATTAGCGAATGAAGCACGGCCCATTTTCGTTAGCGGGGATCAGAGGAGGTGGAGGCCATGAAGCCGTCGCCCACATCCTCCGGCACGTCCACCTCAATGCAGCTTGGCTTGGAGAGGGCTCTACATTACGGATGCCCGCACTTCACGAAGCACCAGAGTGTCCGCATCCTTGTCGTCGATTGTAGGCATGTGGCAGTGGAGAGCTTCATCAAGAGCATGATCCACAGCTTGAGGGTTGGACAGGCTACCTCGCAGGTATTCTATCAGCTTGTATGTCACCGACAGAGTAGTGTGATGGTCGCCCACGCCGTGCCATACACACACACACACACACACACACACACACACACACACACACACACACACACACACACACACACACACACACACACACACACACACACACACAACACACACACACACACACACACACACACAGCACACACACACACAC